GGTATAGAAGCTTAGACTCAGGGATTTCTCGCTCTCTTTTTTTTTTTTCTTCCTTTTATCCTCCTTTCTCTTATCTAAAGTTAAGGGAAGTAAAGGTGATTAAAAAATATGAGGCCAAGGATGAGCCATAAGAATAACAATACCAGGGCCTGAGAAATGGCTCAGAGGTTAAGAGCACTGGCTACTCTTCCAGAAGTCCTGAGTTCAATCCCCAGCAACCACATGGTGGCTCACAACCATCTGTAATGAGATCTGGTACCTACTTCTGATTTGCAGGTGTACAGGCAGGCAAAACATTGTATACATAATAAATAAATCTTAAAAAAAAGAATAACATTACCAAAATCCAGCCAGATAGATAGATAGATAGATAGATAGATAGATAGATAGATAGATAAAGATAGATAGTCTTCAAAAACCTTAGAGAGCTACAGAATATGGCATTTAAGGATTTTATTGACTTAAGGCTTTTTTGACAACAAGATAGGTCTGCTTCTGGCAGCACCCCATTCTACTTCAAAGAGCATCAACACTTCATATGTGACAAGCTAGCCCTGGGTGAGAAAATGCCCTTGCAACAATTACAGACACAATACTGTTCACAGTGAACAAACTGAATACAGGAAAGTTGGCTGCTGAGCTTTGCAAGGACAAGGTAGGCAAGTCCTTTAGAAGGCTGAAGATGATACTCAAGGATTACGGAAGAATTTTAGGGGACTCTCTAGGCAACCAAATATCTTTGTCATTTCTATACTTTTGGAAGCTGTTTGCCTGTACTTTCTACATATTTAAGTAATATTTATTCCTTGTTAAGTCTGTGATGGGACTGAAGGCTATCTTCAACCCCATAGTTATAGCCTCACAGTTAAACTTAAATTGTTTAGGATGATAGCTTAGAGAGTTAAGAATAGAGTAATAGCTGCTTAGTTATTGTTTTGTGAAGCTTATTATCAAACAAATATAAGCTAGATGGTAGTGACATATGCCTTTGATCCTACCCATTGCTTGGGAGGCAGAGGCAAGTGGATCCCTGAGTTTGAGGCCAGCCTGGTCTATAGAGTGAGTTCCAGAATGGCCAAGACTACACGAAGAAACCCTGTTTCAAAAAACAAATATATATGGGTCTCAGTTACTTATATGATAGCTAGGATAAGGGAGGAACTGAGAAATAAACACAGTTTTATAAAAATAACTTTAACACTGCTCTATCTTTCTATTCATCTATCTACTTTTTTTTCTTTCTTTCTCTCTCTTTCTCACCATTCATTTATTTTTGAGACAAGGCTTAACTGTGTGGCCTTGAATGGACTGAAACTTACTGTGTAGACCAGGCTGACCTCAAACTTACAGAGATCCACCTGCGTCTGCCTTCCTAGTATTGGGTTTAAAGCCATGAGTCACCATATCCTAGACTTATACAGTACAAACTTCCTTGTCTGTTGAAACTACATTCCTGCCACCTTCTTCCACCTCCATAATCATCCACAACTGCTGCTTTTGGGTCTCTAGAAGGGATTTCTTCCTCTTTGTAGGAGAACCTGGTCCCTAGTGACCCTTTGGTGACCCAGCCCAACTCACCTCTCCCATGGCCCTTCTTCTCCTGCTCCCGAAACTGGATTTTGGACTGCTTCCTTGGTCTGCCAGTAACGTTGTCTGTACAGTCTTGCCCTCCCCTAATTGGGGAGGTTTGATCGTGCTTCAGTGCTTAGTGCCTCTTTATGCAGGTTTTCTTTTGTTTGTTTTTGTTTTTTCTATGCCTGCTCTATCTTTATGTTTGCCTGCTCACCAGAATATGGCAGCAGATCCCAGTATAGATGGTTGTGAGCCACCATGTGTTTTCTGGGAATTTGAACTCAGGACCTGTGGAAGAGCAGCCAGTGCTTTTAACTACTGAGCCATCTCTCCAGCTCTATTTCTGCAACTCTTTAGCATACCCTCTCCCCCACTCCAAAGCTGGGTTCCTCCGTGTTCAGCTCCAAATCATAAACTTGTTCCCATAAGCTCCTGCCTGGACAACCTTTTCTCTGCTGAAGCTTTTACTTTTGCTTCACTGGGTTTTGTTGTTATGTAAGGCAGGGCTAAGAAAGCATTCCCGGGGGAGAATGAGCAGCTGTACTCCCACTGATGTCCTTTAGGGCATCTGATACTGGTGGGGCCTCAGGACAGGAAGCCTAGGAGATGAGGATGGCCGACTGGGTCATGACAGGACTGTGCTCTTATCCAGACTGTTTGTATTAAGATTTATTTGTTTACTATGTTTTGCCTGCACGTCAGAAGAGGGCACCAGATCTCACTATAGATTGTTGTGAGCCACCATGTGGGTGCTGGAAATTGAACTCAGGACCTCTGGAAGAGCAGCCAGTGCTCTTAATCTCTGAACTATCTCTCCAGCCCTCCAGCTGCTGGTTCATATGGTTTATAGAGGAAATTGTTTGAGGTCCACAATTTGTACACATGCTTCATACAGAAATCTCTAATGGCATTTTGTGGACCTATGTCTCCTGCCCTCCTGTACCCTAGAGGCCTGAAGGGGGATCAGATCCAGCTTTTCTGCTGTTTTACCTTTATGTGGTGCCTCTGACCTCCTGCTCTTTGGAATCTCTACACTATCAGCCTGTTTAGCAAATTTTTCACTCACTGCTGTCTAAGCTACAACGTGGGACCTTTCTTCTTGCCTGTGTGGGCTTCCCTGCTTTCCTTATTCCCATCAGTCGGAGGCCTTGAGAGGGATTTTTCTCCTTCATGAACCCTACAAGTATGAAGAGGTTAAATTAACCCCAGCACTAGGGAGGCAGAAGCCAACAAAGCTCTGAGTTCAAAGCCCGCCTGGATTACGTATCAAGTTCCAGGCCAGCAAGGGCGGTTACATAGTGAGACTTTGTCTTTAAAAAAAAAAAAAAAAAAAAGGAAGAAATGCTACAACACATCTGCTTAATACAGATAAATCTTATCAATGATTAAATTAAATGTAAGCTGAACTCAGGGGCTGGCTAGTTGTGCACCTCCTCCTGATGAAAGGCATGTGCCACCACCGTCTGGCTAAGAGGTTCATTTTTGATACAAGGACATAAATAAATGTTTAAAAGATATGAATGAAAAAGGATAGGCCATTCAAATAGTAACCAAAAGAGAACAGGTGGCTGAACATGGCGTTGCAAACTTGTAACCCATCACTTGCCAGGCAAAGACAGGAAGATGACTACAAATTTGAGGCCAGCGGAGTTTGCATCTAAATTCCAGGTTAGGCAAAGCTACACAGCAACACCCTGCCTCAAAACAAACAAAAGTTAAGTGGGCTGGGGAGAGGGTGGGGAAGAGGGAGAGTTGCATTACTACTGAGCGAAACAGGTTCGAATTTTGTCGCTACTTATTAAAGGTCATCCCGCTAACCGGCCGAATCAAAGAAAAGCCTTTCATCATTTCAAAGATCCCAATCTGCGCTTTGTAGAAACCGCCCCAATCAGGCATTGCCGCGCGGAGGCGTGGGGTTTCTAGGGACTTGTAGTCCTCGCGGCGGAACTCGCAGTCCCGGCAGGCACCGCGGTGGCTCCGCTGGGCGACGTGGCTCGTCAGTGTGCGCCTGGGCAGGCAGGTGGGACAAGATGGCTGCGGAGCAGGGCGTGCAGATTGTCGGGACCCCACCCGGATCCTTGCTTGGGAGAGGGATGCGGGCCTTGCTGCTGCTGCTGTGGCTTGCAGCCCGCGGAGACGCACTCTACTTCCACATTGGGGAGACAGAGAAGAAGTGCTTTATTGAGGAGATTCCGGACGAGACCATGGTCATCGGTGCGGGGGCGAAAGGGCGCGTTTGGGACGAGTCAGTGGTAATTGGGGCAGAGGGAAGCGACCCGTCCCGGGTCCTGTCTGCCGCGAACCTGGCACCTACCTCTTCGAGCTCTTTTCACCTTCCCTTTTCTGCCCATCTCCAGGAAATTACCGGACCCAGCTCTACGACAAACAGAGGGAGGAGTACCAGCCAGCCACTCCTGGGCTTGGCATGTTCGTGGAGGTGAAAGACCCCGAGGACAAGGTGAGCTGAGCCCGGGCCAAGCAAGATCTGGTACTTCTTTGTTAGTTTCCATACCTGATCGAGCAAGAGAGACACTTGGTGATGTGGGCCGCGGTCACTGGACGCTGGGCGGGTGTCCTCGACTTCCCAGTGACTGCTTAGTGTTTCCCCAAGTCAGCTACCGGACTTGAACCGCTTCCCTGGCCTGAGATATGGAAGTTCGCTTTTTCTAGTGTAGTGTATTAATTGTAGTGATGGATATCAAAAAGTTACTAATGCGAAAGCTGTTGATTAGGTCGTAATTCATAAAACGGAGCACTTTCCACAAAGGAGTACATTTTAATTTTGACATATAATGTTTTTAAAACGAAAGGCAAATAACTTTGTTGTCACTTAACCATCGCCATTCTGTCAGCCTGGGTGCAGTTCCCGGCACCCCCATAATGGCTCATAACCACTCATAGATGTGCACATGGAACATATATACATGCAGGCAAAACAGTCATATACATAAAGACAATAAAACTTAAACAGCAACGAGAACAACAAATTAACACCGAAAGCGCTAAAAATTGATAAAGAAAAGTCCTTCCTGGAATAGTCACTTGCTAGCTTGATATCAGACCCTCAACCCCGCCCCAAATAGTTCTCAGCAGCCATTTCACAAGTGCTGCTGTGTATTTGTGGTCTTCTAGTGTTGTGTTGTGCTCTAGGTTCTTGTTGCCGTCTTTTGTGGTACTTAGAGCCTTTATCGCCATTTGTTGTTGTTGTTTTTTCTCCTGGCCCCCAACAGCATCACTGACTGAAACTCCTCCTCTGTCTCTAGGTGATCCTGGCCCGGCAATATGGCTCTGAGGGCAGGTTCACGTTCACCTCCCATACCCCTGGTGAGCACCAGATCTGTCTTCACTCAAATTCTACAAAGTTCTCCCTCTTTGCTGGAGGCATGCTGGTAAGTAGATCCATGAGAGACTAAAGGCTTTCAGCCAGCATATCCTGGTTAGGACTGGGGGCTGTTGGTATTGTGAGTGTGGAGGTTAAAGCCATGGGGTTTCCAGTGAACATGCAGGGCCTAGTGGCTGATCAATTTGGAGAGCCATTCCTTAGCACCCTAATAGGATATTTTTATGCAATGCATATATATATCCTGCCATATACTTTATCATCTCTAAATTACTTACCATCTCTAATGCAATGTTAGTGATGTATGACATCATATGTATGTGTATATATATATATATATACACATATGTATATCATACTAAAGTGACTTAGAGAATGTCCAAAAATGTCTTCATATTCAGTACAAATAGATTTTTTTAATGTGTTTTTGCTTTTTGAAGTACTTATTATCTTTGGAAGCAATAGTTGCAGAGAAAAAAAAACTGTATATGCATTGGTCAGAACATGAGCCCAAGCTTATTCTTTTTGCTTGTATGCCTGGAGCCCCATAGCATTGCATGGGATTTCAGTATGACTTGAATCAAAAACAAACAAAACCTGTAAAACGAAATAGAGGAATCAGCTGCCAGTCAGGCTTCAAAGGCAGTGGGACTGCCTGACTGCCTTGTCTCACGTTTCCATCCCCAGAGAGTTCACCTTGATATCCAAGTGGGTGAACATGCCAATGATTATGCAGAAATTGCTGCCAAAGACAAGCTGAGCGAGCTGCAGCTGAGAGTCCGACAGCTGGTGGAGCAAGTGGAGCAGATCCAGAAGGAGCAGAACTACCAGCGGGTGAGCTCTCGGGAGGGAGTAGGAGGCTGCTCAGCCCAGAGCTGCCCCTGCGGTTCACTGTGCAAGCCCAGGTGACCTACCTATGCCAGAGCCCAGGTCTCAAGGATGAGTAGCTGTGAGCATCTATCTTGTAACTGAGCCACAGCAACACAGAAGAATGGCACGGTAACCAATACCAGCACCCTGAGTGCTGTTTTAAAGGTTCTGGTTGCCCCCAGAATGAAGAGCCTCTGAATTATTTGTGACCAAGAGCCATACTGGTACCATGCCTTTAGGAGTTACAAGGCAGTGACCCATCTAAACCAGAAGTGTACGGGGTCAGCCATGGCCTCCTTGCAGAAAATGCACCCCTCTCCACCCTGTCTGTCTTTTTGGTTTCCCAAGACAGGGTTTCTCTGTGTAGCCCTGGCTGTCCTGGAACTCACCCTATAGACAAACTCACATACCTGCCTGCCTCTGCTTCCTGAGTATGAAGGTCCAGGTTTTGTATGTGAAGTTTTTCCAATTTTTTTTTTTTTTTTTTAAGACAGTTTTTCTGTATAGGTCCTGACTGTCCTGGAACTCACTCTGTAGACCAGGCTGTCCTCCAACTCAGAGATTGCCCTGCCTCTGCTGGGATTAAAATCATGCGACGCTACCGCCCAGTATGATACCGCATCTTTAAGAAGGAAAACATATAAACACAAAAAACCTGTGAACCAAACAAAACATATCTAGCCCACCACTTTGCAGTCTAAGTATATGACATATATGATTTTTGTTTGGTTGGTTTTTTTTTTTTTCTTTTTTTTTCTTTTTTTTTTTTTTTTAAAGACGGTTTCTCTGTGTAGCTTTGGCTGTCCTGGACTTGACTTGTAGACAAGGCTGGCCTTGAACTCACAGAGATCCTCCTTCATGGTAACTGTGCTGGGCTTACATATGTTTTCCACCACACCCTGCCGACACATATGATCTTTAAGGAACAGATTCAAAGACCTGGACAGACATCCACACTGAGCATCCAGGACATCTCTGTTCCTTGCGGCTGTCACCATCATCTTACCTCTTCTCTAGGTATCAGGAAGGGTCAAGTGAGGACTGTATCTGACAGATGGACAGACAGACTTAGGAGAAAGGCGTTAGTCTGCCAGGGGTCACCTGACTGCTGAGGATGAAGGTAGTCTCCACAGGCACTTGGCCAGAATTTGGGCAGAGTGGGTGGCCCTGGGGCCTCCCTGTACTCTGGGAACCCAGCAGTTCTGTCTTGGATTCCTGAGACTGGCTGTTTATCTCCCCAACAGTGGCGAGAGGAGCGCTTCAGACAAACCAGTGAGAGCACCAACCAGCGAGTGTTGTGGTGGTCCATCCTGCAGACTCTGATCCTCGTGGCCATTGGTGTCTGGCAGATGCGGCACCTCAAGAGTTTTTTCGAAGCCAAGAAGTTGGTGTAGCTGTCCATAGCCTCGCAGGCAATCTTTCTTCCAGGCTGTGGAGAAAGGACTTATAACCAGTTCCTCTCTGCAAGGGGGAATGGCTTCAGCCATAGATGCTCTGGAGGGGAGAGGGACAGCAAGCATGCCTTCACTCCTCAGGCTCAAGCTGAGGACAACATCTTGGCTGGCTAATGCTCAGCAGATAGTGGGACGAGCCCTCCCCACCTGCATCTCTGGACCCTTTGAAGTAATCATCCAGGAGCTGGTGATGTCCTTGGTGTCTTAGGATCTCAGTGTTACTGATGAGGGATGCGAGGCTACTGTCTGGGGTAGGTTATGGGAGGGATGAGGGTGAGCCAGCAAACTTTTTTTTTTTTCTTTTTCTTCTGTCTTCCTTTGCTAACATGGGATTTTGAGCAGGTCAGGGTGTATCAATGACTCCTTGCTATTCCAGAAACTTTGCTTTTCTTGCCTTTGGCTTAGAACCACCCTGCTAATCTAGGGTGTGTGTGTGTGTGTGTGTGTGTGTGTGTGTGTGTGTGTGTGTGTG